TATATATATATGTGTAATTATCTATGTATATAATCAATATGGTGGCGGCGTGGTTTACTTATATCTATGGTGGGTGTTACTTTTTTATGCGCATTAAACTTTATGACATTGAGGAGTGCCGCATCTATGATACCACAGATTCGCAATAATTGTATGGCAATTTATAAATACGGTGTGTGTAGTGAGTGTCGTTAGGTCGTGTGTGTTTGTGTATTAATGCTTAAAATGCCATTTGTATGTTTTTAATCAAAACTGGCCAAGGTACATTAACTTTAAAAGAAAAGGAACATTTTTGAAACAATATGACAGAGAAACTTTTTCAGAATGATGACCACCGTGAAATTCGCGTGTGGTGCGATGGTTGGTAAGTATATAACCTCACAATAATCCAATTTCAAGTTACTGTATGAAAAATACAACAATTTGTGTTAAAAATGGATATTTTAGTTATGATATGGTTCACTTTGGTCATGCCAACTCTCTTCGACAAGCGAAAGCTTTAGGAGACAAATTAATTGTCGGCATTCATACTGACGAAGAGATTACTAAGCACAAGGGCCCCCCTGTCTTTACGGAACAGGAGCGATACAAAATGGTGCGTGGCATTAAATGGGTGGACGAAGTGGTTGAAGCGGCTCCCTATGTAACCACTTTAGAAACATTGGATAAATACAACTGTGATTTTTGTTGTCATGGAGATGATATCACGATGACTGCTGATGGAGTTGATACATACCATTTAGTTAAAGAAGCTGGCAGATACAAGTAAGTAATTAATATTAATAATTACTTAGCAGAGTCTGTCTGTTATTATTAAAAACTTGGGTAGAATTGCATGATTGATTAATTAAGAGGGTTTGTGTCTTTTCTGATGTGCCTACAAACAGCAGAGTAAATGAAGAGAATTATTTATTTATTTATTATTATCAGGTACAAAAAGAAAAACTGTAGTGTTAATACACATAGTAATGCACCTGTATGCAGCCTGATACCTTCAATATTAAGAAAATTAACAACTATTATAGAAATTTAAAAAAAAGAATAAAGTGTAGTATATACACTGTTTAGTAGATTAATTAATCATTAATTATGCCTTCAAAGGGCAATGAAGCGGCATGAGAAATGTTGAATTAACATATGAATGTTATGCAGTGTTGGTTGTGGCAAGAACTGTTTTGTTTGTGTAATGTGTATATTTGTTGAAAACATTGGTGTTTTGAAACAATAAGTTCGTGTATATACAAGTGATGTGTGCATATCAAGTGAGAGCAAAGCAAAATAGTTTCACGTCCCATTATGAATTCGTTTCATACCTACATGTATATGTTTAGTAATGTGCTGTTTTTATGTTAATAAGGGAAGTCCAGCGTACAGCTGGGGTATCCACAACAGATCTGGTTGGACGAATGCTCTTGCTTACACGCCAGCATTTCAGGCAAGGTAAATACGAATATGACGTTGCAAAAGAACATTCGTCTTCGATGGGAACAGATTCGTCGGCGCGATCGCCATGGACCGGTTGCTCGCAGTTTCTGCCAACCACTCAGAAGATTATTCAGTTTTCAGATGGCAAGCCTCCAAAACCAGATGATAAAATAGTCTATACAGCAGGCGCCTTTGATTTATTTCACGTGGGGCACCTGGATTTCCTGGAAAAGACTAGGAGTCTCGGCGATTACCTGATAGTTGGCTTGCACACAGATCCCGTCGTTAATCAGTATAAGGGTTCGAATTTCCCCATAATGAACCTGCACGAACGGGTGCTGAGCGTTCTGGCTTGTAAATATGTGTCTGAGGTGGTCATTGGAGCACCCTACACGGTCACCAAAGACTTGATGGATCATTTTAAAGTTGATGTAGTGGTGCATGGAAAGACGTTCGTTATGCCTGACGTATCCAACGAAGATCCGTACCGCGTGCCGAAGGCTTTGGGGAAATTTATTACTGTTGATTCCGAAAATGACATGACCACCGAAAAGATTGTAGAGAGAATTATTAGAAACAGGTTGGAATTCGAGGCAAGAAATATTAGTAAGGAAAAGAAAGAAATGGAGCTTCTCAGAACTCTCAAACAAAAGGAGCAACAACAAGCAGTTATCGTGTAAAATATGTGATTTTTCTGCAGAAATTAACATTTCATCCATTTACGAAAGTGACATAGTACGGTTGTACTTATTTATTTACTATCTTTTACATTTATACATTCAGATATTAATTTTCCGAATTTAACTTACAGTTAGAAGGTGTATTTCGGCTCGAAACGCCCACGCTTTTGTTCGGATATGAACCGGAAAAAAGGGCAAACATTTATCCTCATATCAGTCCTATAGGCTTGTCTCTGTCCATAAGGGCACAGCCTTTTATGCCTCGTTTGCATGCTGACATGGTAATGATTATTTTTTTTTTTGTAATTGACCTAAGCATGTTATCGAATCTAATCAAAAATATTATATAGGAAAAATTGCAAAGCAACGAAACGCCATACTTGAGAAATTACATTCTAAAATGGAACGAACGGTATAACGAGAATTTTCCTCGCAGAAAATTTTCTGCTCTTGCCNAATGTGTTAAAAATTTCTTTAAAAATAATTGTGGTGCCACCTATTGTCAATGCTTGTTAATAGTGTAATGTATAATATCTATGGCGCATGATATATTGTAAGTGACATGATACGGCTCTTTTCGGAGCTATTACCTGGCGTACAATGGTTCATTGTTGTGATTTTGCCTTTAATTTATAATGTACTTGTAATTAATAATTTCCTGTACATTTATTGATTACAATTTTGTTCATTAAATCTATATTATTAACAAATTCATAAAGTGAAGTCAAAATTACGTATAACCAAAAAATGGTAAACAATGTACCATTGATCATGCGCAGTTGACACTGACAGTTTATTTCTCTATGCGCTTATCTGTGGCGCATTTACGTAACATGGTGGCCATGTTCTTTTCGGTTTAAACAAGAAACAGTTTATCCATTTTGTGATGTAGGTTAACAAGTGTTTGTGTTTTTTTGTTATCTGTGCCTGTTGTTATAATAATTCAACTTTTTCGTGGGTGAGTTAAATTATTTAATCGTTTTGACAGGATTATTTTGAATATTTGATGAATTGTAAGATACAATGCATATATACATACAAAATGTTTAAGTAGTTATATAAAGATACACAACCGTTTGCAAAATACCTGCAATGAAAATAAAATTCAAAAATTTCCTTTGTGAAAGTACAATTCTTGAAAATTATTTCCAGTTGGTAATAAACCAATAAATAATGATAAATTATAAGGTGGGTACCAATGTAAGTACTACAATAGAACAAACTAGAATACGCAATTTACAAGTATGTAGGTATATACAAGTAAGTAAAAATTAATTACATAATTAAAAATAGCGAATGTTAACGAAAGTAAACGTGTACTGTGTCCATATGTACTTCGGTAGCAGTCGGTAGATACTTAAAATATTTGTTGGGAAGGTTCGATTTAAAATTGCTTTTTATATCTCAAATTCTTCCTAATGGGTCATAGCCCTGCCGGTGTAGCAGGCTTCGTGATAGTGCCTTCCATCTCTGCAAAGTCCGTCCACATTTTTGGTTGCATTTTCAGCGCAGATAGCAACCGCATGTAATCTCAAAGCTAACCAGCACATTACGAACGCCGAAAGAAAAAGTAAACAACCTAAAACACCAGCTGTGGCCAAGAATGTGCTACAGGAATTTTCAGGACCTCCTGTTCTTTTATGAAAGAATTCTCCTGGCATCAGAACGGTGTACTCGATGTTCTCATTGAATTTGGTAAATTGTATGGTGTCGTTATGTCCAGTTCGTCGAACGAAATCGTTGTTTTGATTGGACATGTTTTGTGATCTTTTTCTTCTCCCGTGTCCCGATGGTTCGAATAGATCCAGACAGAACTCTGGCTGACAGTCGCTGGGTTCCATACATGCCTTTATTTGAGAGTGGATCCATAGGGTCGACCGTTCCTTCATAGTGCTCAGGAGGAAAGCTTCGAAATCGAGAAAGACTTCGTTAGGCCGTTCCCGATACCTTGCCGGCTGATGAGGAATAATTGACGAGAAGTCCCTATTCCTACACCTGACCGTGAAATTATAATGCTTTTAAATATTTGCAGCATGTACATACACAAATATTTTGTATTTACCCGTCTTTGACAAGAGCTACGCTTCCTGGGACATGAGGTTCATCTGGATCGGGGCTGACCGTGACCTCTATAAGCTTGACGAATTTCCAAGCCGATTGTTGCCCTATTCGAGCCCTCAGTTGCAATTTTGTTCCGATAGGTACGGCTTGGTCGACAGGTAATTCCCCGGAATTATTTCCTAATCGTGCGGGTGCTTCTTTATACAACGCAACTTCGTATTCTAATCGTCCCGGACTTTCTTCTACCACTCCCGAAACTCTGGCTCCATGGGGACTGGAGATAAAATAGGCATCTGTGTTTTATGTAACTATTTACAGAAACAGGCAATTCTAATTAAATAAAGACCCGAATACTTACAAGCTCCCTGCAAATCCAGCAGCTTTGTTTTCTATTACTGTAGGTTCCGGGGGTTTGCACATTATTATTAATTCCTGATCGGACTGCATCACTACCCCTGGGAATTGAGGGAACCACACTCTCACATGAACAAAGCCCTTTGAAAAGTAGTCCACCGTTATTTTTATTTTTTTTCTCTACGTGGCACCTACACTTACATTTCTTTTAATCACCCCGCATCGCATGAAATCAAGTATTTTTAGTTTGTAAAAAAGGCCCGTTGGTTCGGTTGGATCTTGTCGAATTTGGCAGTGCGCATCTTTTTCTGGATCGACGACTCTGTCGTCCGCGAAAAGCGGATGACCCCGGAAGTTTTCCGGTTTCTTCAATTTCGCCATAATAGAATCCATACTTCCTCCACTTGGTGTTGCAAATGTGCATTGTATGTTGCTAACTGAAATAAAGTTTTAAAAAGAATAATATTCTACTTTTGTGTAATTGATTCTTTTGATTGGTACATTTACACATTTTTTGCCCATTGTCCTTGATCAACAACTGTTGAATTTTTTTTGTTCTTGATTAACTTGCAAGTTCCTCCTTAGCTGTATTGTTTATTTTATGTTTACAAAGCGCATTAATTTATTTATTTCTATCAGTTATTAACTGTTCCAAAGAATTGAATTATTTTTTAGTGCTATTAGTTTTCCGCGTCTTTCTAGGCATTTGGGTTAAAGTGTGAGTGTGTACCATAATTGACCCGGACAACATTTGTGATTTTTGTTATTTAAATTGTATCTCGGAGAAAATGAAGAGATGTATAATAACTGTACCACTCGCTTAATCAGCAAGTGTATCACGACGTTCCAGTTATTTTGTTATTTTCTCTGTTCGATGCTACGCTCTCGTTTTATTATTTTCTTTTAAATTTATTATGAAAAAAGTATTTAGGTACCCACAAAAAATACTTACCTTCGTAATCCTGCCCTTTCACCATGAGTACCTGAAGCAATACATTAATAATTAGAAAAATCTAAACAAGTTTTGAAAACTTATTTTATAACGTTCTTACCGTTAGCAAAAAAATTGCGATCCACAAAATTTTCGCAGGCGTGCACTTCATATTTCATCAGCACAATAATTGTTCTTTAAGTTCCGGTAGAGTGGTGAGAATGTTTAATTTTTCTTCGTCAGACACGACGCAAACTTTTCACCTTGTAACTCATTCATTTTATTCACAAAAAAAAATTAACAAAGTAATATAATTTAATGAAAAAAATTTAAACAATCACGCTTTGACAAAAACGAAATATAAACAACAAGTATTTGGACCCGTAGTAGGTGGTTCTTGAAAGTCGAACACCTTCTTCGTCGAGTATCTTCCAAGGACTGGCTCTTGAAGAGTCCGTTTCAGGTTCCAACCACGGTTTCATGACCGATGAAACGGTCGGTTATGGTTCGATTGTAGAGCTAGTGCAATTGTCTTTTTGTCGTTATTGTTATTATTTTACTATTACAATTATTTATTGTTATCATTATTATGTCTCGTATATTTATGGTAAATGACAAATTGATTTTCATAAATTTTATAAGACCCAGATCTGGATCAACGATTATTAATGTAATTTAGACGAAAAAAATGAACAAGTCGGTGTTTAGGGAGTATCTCAGGATAGTAATAAAGATGTTTGCGATTGGTTAATTTGGAAATTCGAATATTATTAATAGTGCGTCTTATTTGGAGCGCGACTCTGTATGGGTGTGAAATGTGGATGGTGGGCGCTATGGAAAAATTATAAGCGTTTGCGATGTGGTGTTATAGGAGGATGTTAAAAATACCGTGGATGGAAAGGGCTAGAGATGAGGAGTTATTGGAAAGGGTAGGAGAACATAGGCCGTTATGGAAGTCAATAAAAATAGGCGAGATGGATTGATAGGCCACCTACCCCGACATGAAGAAGGGCTAGAGAGAGAAGTATTAGAAGCAGGAACAGGAGTAAATAGAGGCACATGAAGATCTAGATTAAATTACTGTTTGCAAAGAGTTAGAGATGTAGGTGTGGGTTGCTCTAGTTTTCGAGAAATGCTATAATTGGTTCAAGATATGAACAACTGAAGACCACCTTATGATGGCGATTACTTTTTTATTGCATTGACAATTCCTATTATTTCAATAACAGTTGATAAAAAGTTTTTACGGAGAAAAGTAATTAAAATATATTTTAATCGATTTATATTAGCAAGGTGAAAGTCGACCACTGGTTAAAAACAATAATAAAACCATGTTAATCATTTACATCTCCGGTTTGTTCGTCTAATTTATTCCTTTTAATGATAACACAACAGTCTTTATTTTTTATTAACATTATTGTAATAATCGCGAGCAGGATTTCTTAATAACGGCTTCTATATTATGTATTTCGAACAACCTCTCGAGAGAACGAATAATTTTATCAGTGTTATAACTTATCGAGGATACACGTCTATACACTTCTATCCCTTTTTTTTGCATGACACCTCCTTTATAGGTATGTACCTTTCTAAGTACTTATTTAGAACCAAACTTTTGCGAATATACGAACCGTTAAATAATGATGTCTACTTTGCCCTAAATGATCACGACAGTGTTGAATCGCTATTCTACTTTGACTTTAAATATAATATGTGGAGTGCTCCATTATTCGCTAGTACACCTCTTGTCTATCTACAATTCGTAGCTGTGTGTCTGTAACTGTTGTCTTTCGCAAATTTGTCATCGCATCCAGCAGATATAACTTCTCTCTTACTTACAATTAAATATAGATCAATTATTTATTACAATGAATGAGGTTCGCGCTACTCCTTATCGTAAATTGCGTGAATTATCTTGTTGATCTAGCAGGAGCGCTAGTCTAATTTTTTTTAAGCTGTACGTGTCCTTTGTGTCTATTAGTAGATGAACAATACTCTGTTAAGCGATCTGAGACGTGCTTAACAGTAAAAACTGAACTATGATAATACAATACATAGGTACCTACTCTAAAAAAAAACTGTTACTTGTATACAGGTAATGATATGGATTATAGGCAAGTATTGCACTTAATATCGCGTGTCTTCACCAGTTACTTTAGTAATACGTTTCGTGATTGAGAAAGATTTGTTGAAAGTAAATGGCTGGAACGTTAAATAAATGACACACCGGTATAATTATTAATTATTTCTATCTCACAAATTATAATTTAGAACAGTTAAGGTGTTATGATAAAATGATAAGGAAAGCACTTTTATATTCTTTATAGCAAGCCCTTTTAAATATTACTATACACGATATATCTGTAAAATAAAAAAAAAAAATTGGACATTTATCATTTGCCCCCTTGTTAATTCTTTGGCTGTGACAGATATGCTAATGTGAGAAGTAACAAATATTATGCCTGCATCTAAAATTATTATTATGTATTAGTTAGATTAATAATAGTAGCTACTTCTGGTGTTTTTCAGTTTTTGTCCATTTCCTGCGCCAAACGGAGTGCCATTCCATGGAGGACGCACTTGTGTTGCATCAGGCTTTTAGTGGGGTGAGTTTTTGTTTTTTTTTCTTTTGTAAATTATCATTTTATTACTGCTCTTTTAAATACATGAGCAACAACGTATATACGAAACACTTTCGAGTAAGTGTATGTATTGTATATATTAATAGATCCAGGTTACCAATTAGCATAATTAATGCAATCGGTAATAAATGTGACGAAGAAAGCCAGAGCCAAAAGTAGACAGTAGAGAGGAGATAAGTACCCGGAGTGCGAAGTAGATTAATAAAAGCGGGCTATCTTCTACTTATTTTACAGCCCGCTTTTACCTCTTTCTCCTACTTTTCGCGTTTATTATCTCTCACGTCCATGTCCTGTCCTTTCTAAAGTAGGCATTTGCGTATGACCGACGCGACGCCACGTAAAATAATGTGGGTAATAAGGGCCAATAAAACGTTGTGTTCTTCTTTCCTTCTTGCTTGCTCTGTTTGTCAAACCGCCGTTATATGTGTACATTTCCGTCATTCCATAGTTAATTATAAATAAATTTTATAATATTCGCCATTCTCTCTCTCTCTGTAAGATCTACTTAGTACATACGTATGTAGGTCGAGCTATTGCTTTTTCTTCCAATAGCAAAAACAATTATCGTACAATAAATACATATATCTATTTTGTTGGCAAATTTTAAAACAGGGGTGCACCGTCTGTAGGTATTACGGACAAAGTAATATGAAAGTAATTTGTTAATGAGTTTCTTGTCCTTTTAATTTCAACTTGTTTTGTTGTTTGAAACGGACAGTTTTTTCTTTCTATAACGTTTCTTCGTGTCGAAGTAATTAATTCTTTTTTTCGCCAGGAATTGTTTTACAAGCCATTTTAAACCATTACGGCTAACTAATTACACTTTTTTTTAAGTGAACGCCGCGTGTGTGCAAAGATCATGGGAACTTTTTAAAGAAATTGTCTAGTTAGGTAATTGCGCGATATTTATGTATGTATTACGTGTAAGTGTTCGTGTTTTGTTCATCTTTTTGAAAGGGTTGTTGCTAATTGTATGTATTATTCTGACTTAAGGTTGCACATGTTTCACTCGTTAAAGTCGTTTTAATATACATTATTAGTTTTTGAAGTAAAAGGAACTTCACATCTTAAAGTACAAAGTTGGTGCAAACAGGGATTTCCCCTTTTGCAATGGAAGAAGGCAACTGTCAATTTTTTGTATGAATGAATGTTTTTTGTTTTGCAAATCTTGCCCTAAAGTACCATATCGGGGTCAACTAAAGTGCAGATTATATCCCCCCCTCGTAGTTCTGTTGTAATGGGAATGAGGTCTTGTGTTATCGTTTTAACGGAATTACTTTTAAACGGTTGATATCTGTATTCGACTATTTCACGGTTTGATTGTCGTCCCATCTGTTACATGCGTTCATCGGTCCACGTGATTTCAATTTGAATAAGTACATGTATTAGCACCGTAGCTACTTTATAGTAAAAGCATCATAATAATACCTGTTGCAAGGAATCATAATTATCTAATTGCACACATGCGTTATTGTGGCAACTTCTGGCGGAATTGTTTTGCGCCATGTACCGATTTAATATTAAGTTATCGTCAGGTGATCCAGATAAATATGTTACAGTTAGCACATAAAAGGCGGCCTTTAATCTTCGGCAACATCGTCGGTGGTGAAAAATAAATAATATACGGTACTCAAAATGATCGTAGGTGAAGGTTTTTCAAAAATTTAACGTCAAAACTTATCCACGCTAAATTTTTATTTTTTTATAAACTTACAATTCGATAAATATAATAATTGCAATTATGGACAGAACGGACGTGACAGTAACTAAATACATATTTAACAATACTTTAGGAATAATTAAAATCAACAGAAAATTGAAGTACTTATAAATAGTGGTTATAATAAATGTACTTTCTTATCATCAAGACAATCTCATACAGAATAAGTGAAATAATTTTTTCATGTGGAAATTAATGTGGCCAGAAGATTTAAATTTAGTTTTCCAACTCATGTTGTACTTCATCTATTGTCTTCCCTTTGGTCTCTGGTACGACGAAATAAACAAATGTCGTACCTAAAAGGCTCATGAGTGCGAACAGATAGAACATTACGTCCTCTCCGATTCCTGTTTCAAGTTCAAGGAAGAATTTTGTAACCAGGAAAGCTAGAAACCAACTGAACGTGCCTGCAACAGAACTAGCAATACTTTTCAATTCAGAAGAGAAAATTTCGGACGATATCATCCACGGTATTGGCCCTAATCCTACAGAGTACATGGTAACGAAAATGCAAAGAGAGGTAACGGGTAAAAATCCTAAAGACGTCAGGGTTCCGTTACCGATTATTTTATCCATTTTTAAGGTGAAAAATACACCTAGGAGTACACTGGACAACGCCATAACTGCTCCGGAACTGATTAATAGAATTCTTCTGCCTAAACGATCGACCAAAAGGGAAGACAGAATTGTAGCCAAGACTTGTACCAGGGCTACGACAATGGAGGCAGTTTTGGGGTCTATTTTGGAACCCGAATCTTTAAATATGTCGGTGGCATAAAAAACCACGGCGTTTATACCACTCATTTGTTGAAAGAACATTAAAGACAATGAAATGATAAATGCCTTAACTACTGTTCTCTTTCTAATGTTGTCATTAAAGGAATATGAGCCGCTAAGACTGTCCAGAGCGCTCTTAATTGCGTCCATTTCCAATCCGGTGTCGTAATTTTTACCTCTAAGTTGCAACAAGGCGCTTCTGGCTTTCTCCGGACGTCCCATAGACAAACAATAATGGGGCGTTTCAGGCTGAAAAATAAAAGAAAAAAAGAAAAGGAAGGGCAAAGTGGCACAGACGATGGTATAGTGCCATGGGTCCATACATTTTCCAATGACATAGGCAAAAAGTATTCCCACAGTAACCATAAGCTGGAAGTAGCTGCCCAGAGCGCCTCGGACCTCCTTTTGTGCAATTTCACAAGTGTAAAGCGGAGCCGCAACGCAGCAAGCGCCTGAAGCGATTCCTGTTAAAAAACGTCCCACATATATCATAAATACAGAATTTGCCCAAATAATGAAAGCCCAGCCTATGGTGAAGGGTGCAAGAAGCAAGAGAAGAGTAGATTTACGTCCAATAATGTTGCATATTATACCACTAGGAAAACATGACAGAATTGCCCCTAAGGTGACAAAGGAACCTATCCAGGCCAATTCATTGTCAGTAACTGAAATTTTATTGTATTTGCCGTCTTTTATATCGGTAGTTATGGGAGAAGTCCAACCCAAGACAGCTCCAGCAGCTGCAGCAGAAATTGTTGCTAAAAAAAATATGATTATAAAAATCATAAAACATAATTAATCCCTACTATTTATCATTTAAAGCCATTTACAGTAATGAGGATTAACAGAGACTTTAATAAGTGAATTAAATATCTTTAAAGTAGTTGTTGAAAACATCACAAACGCAATACCTTATCTAATCAAAAATATTTATTATAGCTAATTTGTTTGCAGAAATATTTGTAATAGAAACAAGAAAGCAATCTTACAGTTTAAAATGTTTCTTGTTAAAGGAAGAAGAAGAAAGTTGCTTGATTTGAATATTACCTGAAATAGCGGCGATATATTGTGGAAATTTCTTAGAATTATTTGAAACTGTCCTTTCAGAGTTATTAATACTAGAACCTTCTCCAATGGGTCGTATAGTTCTTGCGTGCGTCTGTAAAACAAACGATTTTAATTTCTTTTCTTGTAAGTCTCATAATTTAACTTACCCCAGTTACCTGGACATCTGGAACAACTAAGTAGTTTTGTGGCAACTCTTCGTTGTCAATCAAATACTGTCTATCAACGCTCATTTTCGACTTCTAAAATTCAAATGCATTTTGTTAGTTTTCGAAAGCTAATTAATAAAATGTAGCATACCTACTATTCTACTACTGCTGCTGAAATAATTTATCAAATATAATCGTAATTCTTGGTTACGGATTACACTAAGCAAAAATCCTACCAGAGTTAAAGTTATGTACCAAACAGCTTACATGGTTTTCAGGCGATTAATAAGAATTCCGAACAATTTTCAAGGTAAAAAAGAAACAATGCCAACAATTCGTTACGAGTTGTCAAACCGTAACGAAAATAAAACTTATTCTTCTTATTCTTAATGTATTGCAACAATATTTTTCAGCCTTTTGGTAAACACTTCATAATAACAATTAAAGTTAAAACTTGCTATATAAAAAATACGATACTAGAAATATTTGTTATTTATATTATTTCTTATTGTTTACACCTTTTTAAAAACTAGTATTAACGTTTAACGATCTTGAAATTATTTTCGACGTAAGGTTATCTATGGACGTAAGTTACTTAATAATCGATGAAGCTCAACTGTCACTTTGACAAATGAAAACAATAACCTTCAAATGCATTTTGTATTGATTACTTCATTATTCTGTTACCTTTGTAAAAATTAATTATACTCCGTTGAATATTGTGCGCGATAAAAGTTCTGAAATGGATGCAGTGATAACAAGACATAGAGACCATCTTTGTGAAGATAACGTTGAGGAAGAAGGAACTGCTGAAGTGACGTCGTTTCAAACATCAAATGACAATGATTTAAGGTCTCCTTTGTTGAGCGAAGAAAGAATGCGTCGCAGATTGAAATTTTACTTTATGAATCCGATCGAGAAGTGGCATGCAAAAAGACGTTTTCCTTACAAATTCGCAGTTCAAGTTATTAAGATAATATTAGTAACAATACAGATTTGGTTGTTTGCTTATAGCCGTTACAACCATGTTAATTACACTTGGGACAACCGTATTACTTTCTCTCATCTTTTTCTTAAAGGATGGGATTCAACCAGAGAAATAAATGTCTATCCCCCAGCAGCAGGTCCTTTGGCTGTCTATAAGAAACATGAATTTTTTGAGGTCATAGACTATGCTCTTGAAGGTTACATCAACTTAAATGAAAGTATTGGACCATATTCATATCCCAATGAAGATAACTCTTTGGCTGAGATGAAACTGTGTCTGTATCATTTCAAAACAGGCATTATCTACGGTTTTAATGAGTCATACATTTTTGATTCGCAAGTTGAAGAATCTTGCTACAATATTTCTCACGATTCTTCAAAAGGTGCTTTTAAATCTGAGAAATACTTTGAAAAGGCAAATATTACGTTTTCGGCGCTTGTAAGAGCCGAGTTACTTTTTAGTGTAAAAACAGTTAATTTTAAAGCAGCTGGGCCCATAACACCCCCTGATTGTTATCAGTTTGATATAACAATAGAATTTGATAATGAAGATCATGATGGCCAGATGGTTTTATCTTTGGATGCTGAACCTATCCGTTTGCAATGTAAGGGTGACAAAGAATATATTAATGATGATTATATAGATTCATTTTTACGGAGTTTATTGAACAGCCTAGTAATATTGATTTGTATACCATCTTTTATACTTTGTAGCAGAGCGATTTGGAGAGCTCAGAAACTTAAAGTAACCACAAATGAATTCTTTAAGATAAATTTCGGAAGAGAGTTGAATTCAAATGACAAACTAAAGTTTTTGAACTTGTGGTACATTATGATTATTGTAAATGATTTCCTAATTATTACTGGCACTGCTATAAAACAACAAATTGAAATTGAAAAGTTTACAAGTGACCAATGGAATGTTTGCAGCATATTTCTGGGTACTGGTAACATGCTAGTTTGGTTTGGGGTGCTGAGATATCTTGGTTTTTTCAAAACTTACAATGTCGTAATTTTGACCCTGAAAAAGGCGGCTCCAAATGTTTTGAGATTTTGTTTATGTGCTTTTCTAATATATGCTGGCTTCACATTTTGCGGATGGTTAATATTGGGCCCATATCATATGAAATTTCGATCCCTGGCAACTACATCGGAGTGTTTGTTCTCCCTAGTAAATGGAGACGACATGTTTGCAACTTTTTCTGTAATGCCATCCAAATTTCCAATGTTGTGGTGGTTCAGCAGGATCTACTTGTACTCTTTTATAAGTCTATTTATCTACGTCGTTCTCAGTTTGTTCATCGCCGTTATTACAGACGCATACGACACTATCAAATCGTGCCATAAAGATAATACCCCTAAGAGTGAACTTCATGATTTTATTGGTACAGCTAAACTTGACGATCTCTCCAGCGGAATTTACCGTTCCGAATCTAATGGTAGTTTAAATGGTCTACTGCGAGAGTTTTGTTGTTTCGCGAAGTTTACTAATCCATTTAAAAAATCGTAAATTTTTTGACCATTCTTTTCAACACAAAATACTCATTCTACTACATAATTTCGTGAATTTTCGGAGAATTAGTCGTTTATTTCCAATTAGTTAATTAATTAAATAATAAATGCCAAAATCAAACTTTTAATAGCAATTTGACAATTTCTCAGATTAACATTCTTTACATTTTACACTGTTTCGTTTTTATGTCATAGTTGGTTATCATGTAATCTTCTAATATGAAAATTAATAGTTAATGAAGCAACAAAAAACATTTTAATCAACTTTATATAATTAATTACCGGTTTATTAGTTAACTGTAAAATAAATAAAGACAAACATACAAATGGTAGACAAATAATATTAACGTTGTATAGAACCTAAATAATTGTTTTCGTGCACAGAATTGTTTTCGATGCACTAATTGTTTTTATAATAATATGAAAATAAATTATTTTAGTTATTTTTTGGCAATTTTTCTAAGTGGTAAACTTTGTATTGTTATGTAGGTTTTTCTTTATTGATTTTTGAAAGGAGTTTTAATTGTTACATAATGCATTAAGTCTTTCTTTATTTTCTATATTAATTCGCTTATATTAGTTTGTTAATTACTTTATTAATTAATGAAAGAACAGAGATTAAGAAAGTAATTTTATTGTCGAGCAATTATGCAACACACCTTTGCTCTGACGCATTGTGTGTTGCATAATTTTAGGGCAATTAAAATCAAATTCCTTAAATTGTGTATTCTTGATCACGTTAATCACATTGCACAATCTTTAAAAGTAAAAAATCATTTAAGGTTAATATAAAATATTAAAGTGTTTAAAATTCTTTATAAATAAAGTCAATATCCCGCAAAGGAGGAAGGAGAAGGGGTACTTCGTAATGTGTACAGGTGTCATTTGACGTTTTCGTGAAAAATATAACCTGGCGTAATATGAACGATTTCGTTTTTTGTTCAAAAGAAGTTAATTTGTGATAAAGAAATTATGCCTAACGTACAAATACAGCAACTTTACGAATACGAAAGGTAATCTAAAACGATATCTAATGGGATTTTAGTTTTTCGAATCCGATTACTTTTGGTTACAGGTTTCCAGAATCGAGAGTAAATGTGTTAACGCTGGTGTTATACTTTCCGTTTGGAATCCTTTTGTTTCTGTTACGATTAGTTTTTGTGTTTTTGCCCGTTTACATTGCAACTTTTATATTAAACGATGCCCCGTTCGTTGAACAAATATTAAGAAGACTGTTATACATAGCGTTAGGTATTACAAGTAAAGTTGAAAAATCAGAAAAATTAAATAGAGGTGCTATCTACATTAGCAATTATGCTTCACCGTTTGATCATTTAGTGCTTATATCTGAAGCAGAATGTCAAGGAGTAAGTGATATCCAGCACTTATCATTACTATTGGAAGCCAAATAAAACTCGTTTTAGGTTAGTAAAAAAAAGTTTAGACCATTACTGGCTAAAGTATTTGGTACAAATGGTCCAACAATAAATCCTAATAACTTGGAGTCAACTCGTAAGGAAATAAATGATTATCTGTCTTATGAACAAAAGAGTTCTCTTCTGATACAGCCAGAGGGCAAAATGACCAATGGTATGACCCTGATAAAATTTAAATTGTGGCCCTTCAATGTTTGTACAAAAGTATATCCTGTTGTTATCAAAATAAATCGTCCCATAGTAAACTGTTCTTTATCAACAATTACATCGAACATTTGGTCTGATGCCTTTTACTATATGTTCTCTTTGAAAACTGAGTATAAAGTTAAGGTTCTTCCACCTGTAGAGAAGAAAGGTATGACTGATGATGAGTTTGCTGAGGAAGTCCGGAAACAAATGGCTGCAGCTTTGAAAGTAAGAAGGTGGCAAAAAAAATATAACATAAATTAGTAAGATTAAAAAGTTGTATATTATATTATTTGATAATGCCATCAGCTGTCGGCATTTTGCAAATTTTTAGGTCAGTTTAGTAGATTATACAGCAAGCGATTTGGAAGAATATGAAAAACGCTATTTAGCAGATTTGGAAAGAAATTCAGCTTCACAACATCATAGCTCGAGTGGTGGTAATGCTGTAGCACAACCTTCGCCGTTAATGCAAACGATGGCCCATCAAGTTAAAGATATTTTACCATTAGTACCACTCAAAGTTATTTACAAAGATCTCGGTAAATACAACGTCATATAACTTATAGGGGAACTTTTACGGACAACTGAATTAATTTCAGTGAAAACTAGAAGTGTTGATCTCACCGTTGCAAACATCCTAGACGGTCATGTCTTTTACATCCCGGAAACTCAACCTGCGTCATCTTCGTCGATGTCTCCTTCTGCTGTCAAGGCGTCGTCTAGTGTTAACTTTCTACCTTCATCATCCCCCTCAACGAGCAAGGAAACTGTTGTATTGTCTCAATCTATTTCGCCGTCTTCTTTTGGTAAATCTGCTTCCGATAGGATGAAGTCTTTTCAGGAACGGAAAAATCAGTTGATAGAAAACGCTAGAAAGAGGTACATCGAAAAACATGGGCTTGAAAATTCGTTAAAAGATTAAATTTTTGTCGTAGATTTTAAAATAGTTCTCATTAAATTAATAAACGCATATATATTTGTTTTGCTGTTTTGTTTTATATGGAAGGGGGACGCGTAAGAGAGAATCGGGTTAAATGATCCTTGGAAATTCGTCGGAATTCTTTTCGTGATGTATTTCGCTCGCCTGGTACTTTTTCCTCTTTATTTTTAATACTTTAAATGTTTTATTTATCGTTTTAAATTTAAGATTTTAATCATAAAATATTGATAAAAAATACCACAATAAATTGTTTGGTAATATTTTACGAACTCGTGTCCATTAGGCAATTTATACCGTTTACCTGAGAATTTTAACATTTAAATTTAAAAAAATATATTATCGGTTTTTTGTTAATATACAGGTTATTTAAAACGTACATTATTTTCTTTGTACACGCAACACGTAACAGATTAAAGTTGAAATATGATAATGATGCAATCCTGAAAGACAGTTCGCCAATCTAGTTCTTATGTGGGTCAAGTTTATTTAATACATGTTTAATACTTTCAGTTTATGTACAGTACTTGTCGTCACATTTCAATTTTTGTGAACTGATTGGCATTCACAACAGTAATTAATAAAAAACGAGCTCGATTTGTTGCGACAATTCAAATACAAACAATTGTTCACGCAAAAACGTTTATTTTAAAGTATTATTAATACAATTCGTATTTTCCCATTCGACTTTTCTAAAGACGTACAGTTTTCCTATGTTAAAATTAATACTGTACAATTCATGTACATACTGGACATTAAAACAAAAAATTAACTATTCTGTGTCGTCTATCAACAGTACAAATTGCCGCCCAAATTTCCGCTGTGCTGCTGAATAATATAATCAGATATGTTCTTAGACAATCCTAATCGTATAAGGTCCCCCTCTATAAATTCGGGGGTTCCCACACCTGATAAGTAGCCGTTAAGTTTAGCCGCCACATGGGATTTTTTTAGTAACTCCGGCGTAAGTTCTAAAGCTTCAACTAACCATCTGTGCTGTTGCAGTCTATATTTCTGATGATAACTGTAAATTATTTTGAATTTTTCAAAATCTGAAAAAGTTAATTTTGTATACGCTTACTCTTCAGCGTCATAGAATGTTTGCGCTGCCTCGATAACGGTAGTGAGTTTTTCGTTTCGTTTGTGAGATTCTTTTTTCAGAGAAATTTCGGCAATCCTTTTTTGATCATCGTCGTGATATAAAATTAAGGACATATACTGTAAAAAAAGTAATTTAGTCAATTATACATATAAGTACATAATTAACTAACTTGGCGCTTAATTATCGTTGTAAGTCCATATTCATGATTGTCCCAAAATAGTTTTAGTAGTTCTTCGTAGGTTATTGTTTTGGGGTCAAAGTCAATTTCAATAACTTCCGTGTGGTCACCTCTAAAACAGACGTATCTTTTCGCATACATATGATAATTATTAAAATTAAACCTACAAGTTTCGATATTCTGGATTCTCTTTGGAACCTCCTGAATATCCGACGCGGGTGCGTAATACTCCGGGGGTTCCCCCAAATAATGCGTCACATGCCCAAAAACAGCCCATGCCGAAGGTGGCTTTTCGAAATGGGATTTCTACCTCGTGAAGTGGTCCTGGCATGTCCTACGTTTAATTTTATAGTAACTTGAAAAGTTTCATGCGAAGGGGGGATTTTCAAAAAAAATATATACACATGTACATGTTCCCACACCTAAGGATATAATATTAGTTGTATCTAAAAATATGTTTTTTTGAAGTACTTGCGACATTCTGTTTTGTTTACTGTTTTAGAAAAATCTATCAATTACATTTATCAGAAAAACGATTAAACGGTGTAATTGTTTTCTATTGTAAACGGTGCTTAAGCAGGATTTTTATATAAAACTATTTATTCGTTCTAAATGTATATTTTCAAAAAGTAATGCGTGCATTTTCGTTAAATTTTAAATGGTCAAGTAATAAGTAAATAGGTACATATTATTTGTTTTTATTCACTCTTGAAGGTATGAGAATTATACATATTATCCTCATGTGTTGGTGCCGTTTATTTATTTAATAAATACAAACAACACAGATAATGGACGGGTTTCATTATTATTTTTATTGTATTAGTACCTTACCTGTAGCATTAATCTGAAAAATGTTAATAACAAATATTTCTTACGTCTTATCACATATCTATATACATACGTAGGAAGATAACTTTTCTATCGCAGTATTGCTTATATTGATATCATAAAATAATATTTGACTTTTGGAGACAGATAGCTAAATTTAAAAAAAATACCTTTTTGTTTTAAGGTAAACTAAGAAGTTATATTTAATATAACGAAATTTTTGATGTATCTATTAGATCAAAATAAAGTCAAAATTGTAATATCTGTGTACATAATTACAGATGTAATGATTACATCGCTATTCATAGTTATATAATTAAAAATTTGCAAAAAATAGTTTTACTAGTAACGCAGTTTTGCGGCAGTAATTACAGATTCGTCGTGAAATTCCAAAAGTTAGTTACTTCCGTCAAGGAACTTGACAGAAGCATACAAAATGCTACCAAAATGTATTATCGTTATATAATTTGAAAAATAAAAATTATTTTTTGACTTACGCCTCTGATATAGCGTTGGGCTGTATTTGGTAAGTGGCGGCCGTGAAATAGTCACGGAGTTGTTACGCGAATGACAATTTCACTTCGTATGAAAGACGCTCAGTGTGCGACACCGGTTTTTGTTTTACCATTAATTCGACTTGCTCTGCGTACATAATAATATGTATGCAAAGTAAATTAACATTAGCTATACATTTATACTAATTTATCATTAGTTGAATTGAAGTAGCCCTGAAAGTCAGCTATATATTAAAACCAAATACACAAGCAGTAAACGTACTATCATCGCAATCGTGCATTAATTAAGTAACATGAATGCATCAGTATAAATTTTTATAATAAAAAAAATAATTAACAATTTAGTTTTGAATGTCCCCCGTATATCATTTAAAATAGGATTTTGCGAAGGAAAGCGTGTGATGGCGTGAGGGAAGACACGTTGCCATGAACCGAATAGGTACAACAGCAAGAGAAAAGTCGGTTTTAGCGAATGAAAAAATATTAAAGAAAAACTTATTGAAAAGCGGATTATTATATATCGTTTGTTAATAGATGGGTACGTACCCTTAATTGATCATTTACACGATAATATTGTCGACAATAAACCCATAAGAAAAAAACAAACAGAACACTTTTCAAGTCAAAGTATCTGAGGGACATTTTGTACTTTTTGAATACTTTTACGATCACTATAAAAAACTATTTATTTTATTATTCAAAAACACGTTGCAAGACATATACCTATGTGCATCACACTCTGTAAAAGTTTTGTATATGACTGGCCTACACTGTAATGTCAAGATGATTTGTTAATGAATCAGGATTAACGGAAAGACAAAATAATTATTTTCTGAACGTTTCTATTGACGGTACTGTACACAAAAAAAAAGAAAAAAAATCTTTTGGGGCAGTTACATACAGTGTGTTACGTACAATAACTTTTATACACCTAGGGAGGAGAATGGATAGTAGTAATAATTTTTTTTTATTATACATTCGAGTCATTCTTAAGGAAGACCGATAGGGCCAGGACCGGGACGGGGTTGCAGAGGTGTCTTTTGGACGATGGCATTGAATCCTGTGAGTGGATCGGCGTTGTAGGTGACGATTCTGCGGGTTCCATCGGAGTCAGATAAACTATAAACGCCTCGCACCACGTCCCCGTCTCGGACTTCCTGGTGATTTTTCGAATCGCCAGTTATGTAATCGTTTACGTCATAGCCGTACGCGTATCTGGGGTGAGGGTCGATAGGTTCGATTCGGGTTTGTAAAGCGGGTACTCCGACGGGTATCGCTGAGGCCTGAGGAGGAGAACCTATCGGTCCTACAATTCCTCCATGAACTACAGCTAGGGTTGCTGTCAGAACCAAAATCTGAAAATGTATAGGTTGAACTATTTCTTTTTTCTTGTCAATTTTCTCATGTTTGATTTTAGCACAGTTTACAGGTAGTAAAATTTGATTTATTAATGGTGTACAATTTTATCAAGTTTGAGGATTTCTTAATAATTTTCATATACCAATACATATTAAAAAAAAAGTTTCTTACCTTAAGTTCCATGGTTGAGTTTATAGAATGGCACGCCTTCCTTACAGATTGACTCTGTCATATCGGGGGTTCTTTGGGCCCTATTTATATCGTGAAAATTGGTATTTTGATACGTCTTATGCAACATATCCTGTGCATTCAGTAAAAAGATAGTGACCTCTGTAATGTAATTCAATGATAAATCTTTAATTCCAGAAATAGGATACTAGTATGCTTATTATGTATAACAGTAAGATACATTTCCAAACTGGGTTCCACGGTATGCACCGGTAGAAATAAAAAAATATAATTTTTGCTTTCTAACGGTTTAATATACGTTGCAATATGTTGCATAGTAAGATATATAATTTCAATTGCAATTTTTAAATTATTTCGCTTTCTTGTTATAAAGATTCATTATTAATTACACATACGCATCTTTCAATACTTTTATATCCATTTGTATTTATTAAATTTTACGGGTAATATTTGTATTTCGTTGTTTATCCTTATTTAGAAGAAATCAAATTTTATATTTTTATTTTGTTTTTGAAAGTATAATAACTTTTTATAACTTCTTTTTCAAAATTTTTATTGTTTTGATATTAATTAGAAGCAAATAAATATATGCAACTTATTCTACATGAAAAGCTAATTGACTGGTTGCGCCATCTCACAAAATTGATCCCAAATATAGCGTTAAATTATCGCATTCTACTATGATCTAAAATAACTTGGCAACGATTTGAACTTTAAAAATAAGTTATTCGCCTTCCAATTAACAGACGGCGCTCAGTAACGAAATAGATATGGAAATAGATTTATAAATGGCGGTTACTGAATATGTAAGAGATGTTTTATTGACGAATAAATGCTAAGCTCAAATTATGAGTTAATTTTTATGTGAGTGAATATCGGAAATAAACATTTTTATGTTGTGTGATAATTAGTTGGTTTAATTGTATCGTTTCCACTGATGATATTCTTATTAAATTAAATAAGATGCACAGAAGTTCATCTTGAAATTTCTGCATATCCATTAAATCTTTTTATTACTGCTAATAAGGTAATTTTGTTTATTAATTTAAATTATATCTGTTGTTCAAAACACTGGTTGACCTATTAATTTAAACCTCTGTTGGACAATAACGATCGTATCTGTTGATATTTACAGGCCCTGTAAAATTAATGAGTTGATAAGAATTAACCTTAGATAAGCAAATACAACTATTGAATTATTGAAATTTAGCTTTATATATGCAAATAGTATGTCGTTTATTTATGAAGCGATATATATTTTGTTAAATTTGATTATTTGCCAAATAAAAATTTGGTGGATGGTGAAACCAAATGAAATTTGTCCTCTAGAATCTAAAATCGATATTTAAGTAGTGCAATAGAAATTAACCCTTGATTTAACATCATCATAATATAAAAAATTGATCAGCGTTGAATTTTTCAAATGATGGCTTAAAAATCAATTGCAAAAATGTCATCAGTTTGCATTCAAAGTATGATGTTTTCATATATTATACCTTCATATACTATATACATATATTTATAGTATGCTTTTTAATTCTTTTTGTTAACCAACTGGTGTTAAAATATATTTAATAATATTGTTTATCATTTTTCCATTCTAAAATTAATAATGATTTGATAATTATGTATATAGAATTCAACTGTAGTCCGATACAGCATTTATCGAAAAATGTAAGTTTATACAATTTATTAAAGGTATTTGGTTTTTTATTTTAGATTTGGAATGGAGATAAATTATCTCGACGCGCATTTCGGGGTAAAAGCCTTTATCATTATACCGTGTGTGCTTTTTGGTATATGCATCGCATTTGCTAGTGGTAACTATCCTGTCTAATTGTTCTAGATTAAAACATGTTAATATATGTGCATTTCAGAATCTCCGGAAATTGTCGTGAAACCGAGAAATCAGCAGGTGAGGGCCGGCGGAAATGCTGCATTTTACTGTTCTGCACGCGGTGATCCCCAACCCCTTATTCATTGGAAAAAAAATGGCAAGAAAGTGTCGAGTAAGATAGACAAGTAATAAAAAAATAAATAGACTTAACATAATTATTATACATGTAGGTACTCAATCTCGCTATCAGATCAGGGAGTTTCCCACGGGAGAGCTTCTGTTGCGTGTAGAACCCGTTCGTGCTGGCAGAGATGATGCTACTTACGAATGTATTGCAGAGAATAGCCTCGGTGAAATTGCAGCTGCAGAGGCCACGCTCATAGTTTTTGAGAGTACTGCTTTTTTATATTATTTAAAGAATACTTATTAACTAATTATATTTATTTTTTATAGACGATAAGTTACCGGCAGGATTTCCTCAGATAACTCAGTCGCCAGCCACAAATAAAGTCGTGGAAATTGGACACAGTACTGTTCTGACTTGTAGTGCCTCAGGCATTCCTCCTCCAAAAATCACCTGGTACCGAAACATGTTACCTATAGATGTTAAGAGTGAACCTCGTTATTCTATGAGGGATGATATACCAGGTAATCGTCCAATACATTGTTTAAAATTAATAATGGTGTCTTTTTTCATTTGTGCAGGTGCTCTTCAGATAAAAAATAGCGAAGAAAAAGACCAGGGAAAGTACGAATGTGTTGCAGAAAATTCTGTGGGAAGCGAATACTCAAAACCTGCATCTTTATATGTTAAAGGTAATCTAATGCAATGTTAAGAACATGTTAATATTCAATTTTGGTTTCTATACTTAGTAAGAAGAGTCCCTCCTCAGTTTTCTATCCCACCTCAAGCAGTAAACGAAGTAATGCTTGGCGCTGATTTAAATTTATCATGTGTCGCAGTAGGATCGCCTTTACCTTATGTTAAATGGCGAAAAGGCGTCCAAGAATTAACCCCCGATGATAAGTTACCCATTGCGAAAAACACTTTGGAATTGAGAAATATTAAGGAGTCGGCCAACTACACCTGCATTGCATCCAGTGTTCTTGGCGAAATAGAAGCTGTAGCAGAAGTTAAAGTACAATGTAAGTATCTCAGTAGGTATGGTTGCATTTTAATTCCTTTTATTGTTATGTTTGTTATTGTTGTAGCCTTGCCGGGTCCCCCGACTAACGTTCAAGTTTCGGAAATAACTGCCACTTCTGTACGCCTAACTTGGTCGTACAATGGTTTTGAGAGTTTGCAGTATTACGTGATCCAATTCAAGCCAAAGTATGCCAATCAAGCGTTCAGCGAAATATCAGGGATTATTACAATGTATTATTCTGTACGGAACTTGAGTCCTTACACTGAGTACGAAATGTACGTTATTGCAGTTAATAGTGTTGGTCGAGGTCCTCCTAGCGCTCCAGTAACTGTTACAACCGGAGAAACAGGTTCGAAACTTTTACAACTATAATGCATTAAATTATAGTATCCACTTTTAGTGGGTTTAATAAGCTTTTCAAAGTGAATAACTTGGTTTCAAAATCACTATTTGACTTACAAATAAGTTTAATTCATGTTAATTTCGTTACGTAT